TACTATTTAATACTGCCAACAAATACTGAGCAATGCGCTCTTCACCAACCACTGAGTCTTTGACGGACCCTGCAGGTACATTTAATACATATATTCTATTATAAAGAAGATACCAGATGGACTGATAGTAACCTATGTCTCCTGGCATGGGGGGTGTGAAAAGAGGGCAAAACTGAAGCAGGAAATAGTGAACAACTAACTAATCAAGTAAATGCAAATTCCACCAACAAGGGTAAATTTAACAAATAGACGAGGGAAGCAATATATATAAGATATACTTCTGTTTACCAATCAAAAGAAAAACATGAAAAAAGATATGCTAGTACCAGATGGATTATACTTCTCCCTCGTCAAGCAATGTGATTGTCTAGTTAAATCATATTGAGGCTGCACTCGGTAAAGCAAAAGAACAAAAGACAACTTCCAATACCTCAAGCTCTGCTTAATAAAGTCACCATAGCATATTCACGGATGAGATTCATCTATCTACCATTTCTTTGACCTAAATGACAGCCATGACTGGGTTGCCTAATGCTGAAACTGGGTTCTAGTCTCCTATGATTCGGCCATCTTCAATACTTGAAGAGGAATGCGCGCGAAACTTTCTAACATATACTAATTTCCCTACTTTTATAAGCTGGAAATTTTTAGAATCTCTTCTCGATAATGGTGAATGATTTTTCACAAAGCTCTGCCTAGTCACAACATCTAGAAGTTGATGGCTAACATCCAATCCTTTTCCCCTTGTGTGCTCTCCATTATGGCACACTAAGTTGAACAGAATCAGTAGAGAGATGGCCAAATCACAACTTACTAGTTTAGTAGTTTAGAAAAAGACTGCCTGCAGCAAAATGAGTCGAGCAGATGATCAAATCATAGAAGGTAGAGAGTGCAAAGACACAACCAAAACAATAGCCAACCTGCAAGAGCTAGCTTCAATCCTGTCTCTATGTCTGGGATACTCGGAACTAATACACCAGGAGTGTCAAGAACATAGATACTTGGATGATGAGCGATCTGCACATCACAGTCCAAAGTCAGAAAAGATTAAAATATATACAATTATATTAGGTGAGAGAATATTGGATCATTTGGAAAATTTTATAATTAGGTCTCTCTGTGATGAGAAAAGAAGGATAGGAAGGGATGTTAACAGATGGCAAGAAAGTTCGTCTACAGTTGTTAATCAAGAACATCTGAAAGCAAGAGTGTCTGAGGATTAATTAAAAAAGTTTGCCAATGTTAATACAAAAGCGATCAATCAATAAATCCAAGATCATGCATCTATCAATCTAGAAAGTTCTGAGTTCATGCACAAAATTGCAAAGTCAGATTGCTTGAGAGAATGCCACCATAATTTTATAGCAGCTGAAGAATATTTGACCTTGAAACCAGCAATATCTTGTGTAACACCAGGCAAGGGGCCCACTGTTGCTCTCTTGATCTTCTCCTGCACTAAGAAAAACTCAGAGCCATCGTCATAAAGCAATAGAAAGCAAAGCAAAGTTACCAGGTAACATCAATATATTTCCAGATTACTTGATTAAGCCTCAACCAACCTCACTACATTTATTTGTTAAGAAACTGCTATTGCACCATCAAATTCTCAGGTTTGGAGTATCTTCCCACACAGATGAGGTCAATTGCCGAAGAGGAGGCTTGTATCTCTTACCAATACACATCGTGAGGAAGTGGAAAATCTTACCAGGAAAACGAGAGGATGCAATTTGATGAATTGAATTAATTAGAGCTGATTTGCCCACATTAGGAACACCAACCACCATGACTAGGAGAGTAGGCTCTCTTGAAATCTTTTCCTTCAATTTAAGCTCCGCGAGATCCAGAAGCTACGGTAAAGAATTACAAATAACCAAGGTGTCACATCTCCAAGAAGAGAAAAAGTACAATCGTGCGGTTACTGCATTCGTGGAAGCAGCATTCCCTAACAGCAAGACATATACTACAAAGTGTCTTGCAATTATTAAGAGGGGTTAGCAAAATGCAGGTCAAAAGCAGCTAAAAAAAATAGACACCTAGCAACAAAAGAACCAAATCTTCATAGGTAAAATCCAGTTGCCATTTTCAAACCTCAAAGGCTAAACCAATTTCGACACTGCCACATTGGACAAAAATGCGAAAACTCCACTAGTCGGTCTCAGCCTACGGCCAAGCTAGTGAACAGAAGGGCAAGCAGATGAAATCCTTAAAACCCGGACGACGGCTTAACGCAACAGAGCAAATCAACTGCCAAAGTCGATTCGTGTTTTCTTACCCAACATCTATCTCATGCTATAAGAAACTAAGAGGACCTCCAAAAACTTGTATGAGGACATCCCACAACGTTCTTGACAAGCAGATGCACTCATTTAAAGGCGCTGGTATCATAAAGGCAACGCATTTCGACTGACCTTCTTGACAGAGCTCTTGCTATGAGCATTTATGGGGAGACAGTCTTGACCGCGAGAATCGAAGTAGTGGGTCCATTTCTACACGGCCAAAAACACAAAAAGAGCGAGGACCCAGAATGATTAGTGCCCACGAAAGGCTTGATCAAAGGGAATCATTACAGAAGCGAAAGGCAGGAAACTGAAAGTAAGGATTTTTACGTGCATGACATTGGGGTTGGCCAAGTCCTTCTTGTTCAGAGCAATCACTCGCTTCTTCTTGGAGAGGTGAGGCTGCAAGTCCGCATTCGCCGATGACAGCGGAATCTGATCAAAGACAAAAGCAAGGCGAATCGCCAAATTCATGCGCATGCTATCAGAATTCCCAAAAAAAACAAGAGAGAGAGAGAGAGAGGGTACGGACGCGGGAGTCGCGGACTTCGATGACGAGGTCGGAGACCTTGAGGCGGTCGCGGATGGCGCGGGTGGCCGCGGCCATGTGGCCGGGGAACCAGTTGACGGCCCCGCCGCTGCTGTTGAAGTCCATTTCCCCCAGCGCCTTCTTCACCGCCGCCTTCGCATTGCCGGCGCCGCCGCCGCTGCCCCTCCCCATCCTCATCTCTCTCTCTCTCCCTCCCCATCCTCATCTCTCTCTCTCTCTTCGCCGGACCAACACCTTCCTCAGCGGAAGCCGACGGCGGCCATGGTCGCCGGTGCAATGGTTGAAGTTAAAGCTAACAACTAAGGCCACCTGGTTACTAGGTATGATGAATCGACACGTTCCGGTCGGACCCAGAGTTAGTGAATTGGGCCGGTTTTAGACCGTTGATCCTTAATCCTTATCACAGACTCTCTTGGAATAGTTCCATTATTAGAATAAGAACTTGTCCCGAAAGTGTAATTGAGTCCTAAAATTTTAAAGTGCAATCAAATCATAAAACTTTTCAAATTGGTACAATCAAATCATTCTGTTAACTTAGTTCAATTTGACGAACGAAAAATAACAACGTGACTTTTTTTTATTGTTTTCTCTAAAATTAGATATCGCGGGACACCCCCTTCCCCTTAGTAAATTTACTTCCTCTGCCTTTTGGAGAATCAAGGAGCATGGTAGATTATCCCGTCTTACACCCCAGGAGGGTGATCCATAATACAGTGAAGTCTCGGCGGAAGGGGGAAAGCTTTTGCGGGGCATCAAGGCTGATACATGCAAAGCCTATGATCGTGGCGGAGTGTTGAACGTTTTAATAGCCATCCTGCGAGGTTTCGGGTTCAGCGATTAACTCTGAAGCGGAATTATGGGGTGCGCCTTCTCGGTTAGTTTCTGGCTCGTTTAAACCAATACAGGAGATCCGATGTCGCCGTATCTTTTCATCATTTACTCTGAAACTCCTGCTAGGAAAGGCCGCAATTCTCAGGAACAATTCATGTTAAATGATCTCTCCGCCTAGTGGCCACTGTGTGTTACAGAGGCTGATAGGATGGAAATGAGCAAATTTATGAGCATGCTGTTGTTTAGGGATTAGAGCAACGTCGGTCTCACTGAGCCTCACGTTCATATCCACCAGATTCAAAGAAATCGCGGACTGTATCAAATACCTCATCCCCGACCATGTCGTCGGGTCCCGGGGCTTTTAGAGGGACAATCCACTTGAGATTCGAGCAGATCTCATCTGCTTTAGGGGTCGCGCCCGAGAGCTGTATCTCCTCTACCGTCAAAAGAGTTCGACGACCGATCAAGCATTGCTGGAACTAGCTTCCAGGTTATCTGTGGTAAACAAGTTTCTGGACTACATATACACGTTGACTTGGTAAAGATGGATTCAAACGTTGATTCCTGTATTTTTTAATTTCATGTCTTCTCTGATATGCTTCTTGACGACAACAAAAATTGCCAACCGATACTCTTTCCATTCGTTGTGTCTTCAATTTTTCCAGAAACTAGGGCTTTTTGTTTGCAACGTCGTCATGATGCAAGGACTTCCTGTCCTTTGTGATTAGGACGAGATATCATTCTTCTTCAAGTCTTAGCCTCAATTACATTCATCTTCCAATCTTTTTCTGATGTTCCATCTTTTCACATGTACTACCCTAAACCAACTCCGAGTCCATAGACAAGAATTCAACCATTCACAATTCTGGAAACTTCAACATATTCAAATTGATGCGTAAATGGACAGTTACGGCCAAAACGAAAAAAAAGAAGAGAAAATGAACATATCGTTAATAGAGCTTTCCGATCATTACCCTGACAGAACACAAAAAATAAATGATGAAACTGCTTGACGGCAGTTTTAAAGTCCATAGCCCATTGTCACTTATGGTCATGCCATACCGGCTCAAAGACCTGTCGAGAAGACTCCCTCCCAGTTCGGATAAAGAAAGATAACACTTTCAGAAGATGGTATGGAAAATCACAGTAGCTGGCTTTCATCTCAGGGAGTTTCCCAATGAATGTAACACGCGCACAGAGACTCCAGCTGACCATTTTTTCGAAATTACAGGCAACATACATCAGCTTGGTATCTGAGATTTAAGATTAAAAGCCACAGCTGTGATAACAATAAAGTAATCGTTTCATAAGCAACAGGTGCCTCAGAAATTATTGAACCTCCGTACCAAGAAATGATCCATGTTTTCACAGTTATGTGTACCAGAAGTTCCTCAGGACATATGTTTTGTTCGTCACGGAATGAAGATATGCAAAGTCAAAAGAGTAACCTCTTCAGGTTTGGTATTACACCGTTTCAACTTTTCACTCTTGCTAGGCATATTGCAGACTAAGGAAGAGGGGCATCATCACAGCACTTTCCAGCATTTGAAACAACCATCAGCTTCGCTGCCCACTCGAGAGTATAAATACACCCGCATGTTAACCGTCTTTTTCTAACAATGGTGGCGCTTACATTAAAGCTATATCATGTACAGTCAAAACTAGCCCACGCAAAAGCAACCTGCACATCAGAGGATAAGAAGGAACTGAGAGACAGCCGCCTTGGATTCACAAGCTTCGGGCAACCTTCTCATAAAGATCACGTGGCCAATTCCTCTTCAAATTGTTCGCAAGAAAATTCGCAATCTGCAGATTCAAAGAAGAGCATCAGGTGATTATTCAAAACAAGGAGTATATATGTTGACTTTCAGTTGATTTTTTTCATCAAACAAACAGCCTATTGAGGATATCCCAAAGTGGCTAGGAATTTACAATCGTCTGCTTTGGAGCATATAAAAACTGACAACTGTTTAAGAACCCAAATGCCCACTTGCCTTGGCTCTTAGAGCACGGAGTGATCCATCGGAATCAGGCACGTTATCCATACAACTAAGAGCAACCTTTAGGAGGTCAGGAACACAAGCTTGGACATATGGAGATAAGTTCTGCAATACATCTGTTGTAACATCTGGTGTTCGTGGATCCAATGGAAGAAAAGGAAGTTTGGCAACCTCCCTCAAAGCATCCAGATAATGACCTGCTCTTGCCAACTTGTATATCGACAATATTGCTTCAAGCTGTCTTAACACTGTTTGTTGCTCCATAACATTCTCTCTCTCCTGAGGACTGAGGGAATTATGCAAATGAGAAATAAATGTCTGAGAGCAGAACAAATAAGGGGAACATTAACGTCATAAATGATTAACATAGTTGACAAACCCCAAGGCCTCTCGAATACTTTTGTGTCTACAACAAGAGTCAAAGAATAAGTTATTTCTAGTCACAAAGCACAACATTAGTGCCCTAATTGAAGCAAGCAATTTAAATTATGCAATAATTTGGCAGCGGGTAAGGAAATATTCTAAACAGAAGAAATCTAAATGATGGACCTGTCATTTCCAATTTTCAAGTTTCATCATGCTGCAGCAATAATAAATGATCTAGCATGACAGAAGCCTATAAAGTTGATCAAAATAGTCAACCCAAAAAAGGAACAGCTACTTAGAAGACTAAGACAGCAGCTACCAAGAGATTACCTGATTTCGGGACTATATTTGTAAGTCTCCAAAATCTCGTTTCCAGAATGAATCAAGCCAGCTGTCTGGCTTTCACCATCCAACCGTCCTCGTGAAAGAGCACATAGTGAGTCTGAAAGGCATTTATTGATGGTGTCCAGGGCCATTGAGAACGCCCCAATTCTCTTCAGAATCTCTATTGACTGATTTAATTAAAGGAAATTATAAGTAAAGGGAAGAATAAGCAAAGGAAAAAGGTATTAAGCCCATACTAGATTCGATACTATCCCAGATGAAATATCCATTAAAATTCTAGATTCAGCAATGCAGGATGATATAAACGGAAAAATATCGAAGATGAAAATTCAGAGGTCAATGAAAAGCTATGCATAATGTGTGAAATAAAGTAGTCGGGGAAACCAAGCAAGCTATAGTTAATAAGAATACGAACTACCGCTAATTTTGTATAAAAATTGTTCCAACTCAATAAACTATATCACAGCATGTTTTCTTTTGTTATTGGGTCACCAATGAAACACACAATGATCAGCAGAACATGAATCACCTTGAAAAGAGAATTTCTGAAGAAACGCAGTCAATCAAAGTACTTTAGCTCTCAAAAATTCATTGAAAACTGATTTCACTTGTGACTCCATAAAAGCAATAGGAGAAAAGAGCGACTTCCATCAGCGGTCACAGAACTTGAGTGGATTAAGCTATCAGTTCGCTGAACTTTAGTTTTAATCATCTCACGTAGAAAACTTTTATTTCTTTACTCTTTATGCACTTTGACCAAAATCCAGTCAATTTTCAAGCAAAATACCAATGCGGTATACACATGGCCACGTGGCCACCATGTAAGCAATTAGCCGGAAAATTGACCAAATTCCAGTCATAGCGCATAAATTGTTAACAAATGAAAGTATAACACATTGGGTGATTGAAGTCAAAGTTCAGTGACATGATTAGAAAACACCATAGTCCACTATTAAGCAAATTTTACACGAGGAGAATAACGGGGAGAAAGACCATACTTTATCATATATCCCAGCTTCCAAGCACTGCCGAGCAGCTTCAAGCAGAAATTGTTGTCTTGTTTTTATGTCTGGTATAAACCTTGTCAATTCACCTTCTTCCCCAGAACCTCTTGGACCAAGTAAAAAGTAAATCCCACCATCTCGCAATAACAGCTCCGTGAGGAGTTGTTTCAGCATCAAACTTCTCTGTCTCTGCTGATCCGCATTTCCCCTCCCAGTCCAAGATAGTCGTCCACCACCCACTGCAGCAGCAGCTTGTGCATAATATTCCAATGCCATTGAAAGATCTCCAAGACGTAAATATGAAGATCCATACTGTCGAATCATGCTAGATGCTTCTGCATAAGCATCCATTACACCAAACTTTGATCCTGCCCCTGTACCTTCCGTAAGGACACCATGGTCGGCAAGCACGATAGCTATGTGAGTGGCATCAATGTTGTACCCTTCATCTCCTGCTTCTTTAGACAAATAGAGGATAGCTGGTAGGAACTGGATGCTTAGGAGCAGAATATATGGGTATACAAGAGGGTCCTTCCCATTTTTGGTATAGTATGATGCTTCAAACTTATTTAGATAAGCCTGCAAATCCTCTAAACTATAGGGGACCGAACTCTCACTAAGGATAGCAGATGAGCCTCCGAGAGGGAACTCCCTGATGGCTGACAGTTTAAACCACAAGAAATCCTCTATGGTGGTGAAAAGTGTCGATAGATCTCTCAGCAGCCTTTCGACAAGCCTTCGAGAACCAGATATCATGGCATATAGTAACAACCTTTTCTTATCATATGCAGCTCGACCCACCCGATCACCCATTCTTAACAACTTTTCACATTCTTCTGAAGCAGTTGCAGCTGTCTCAGCAGAAACCATACCTCCAGTATTTATCCATTCTGTAAGCTGCCAATAATAAATAACCATTAGGGAAGAACAAAACCAGTACATTTGGGCAATAAACAAATAGTACCAGAGGTGCAAACTGATGTGCACTACGGGATGACAAGGCAACATCTCTTGCTTCATTGTAATACCCGGTTCTCAAGCAAAAGTATATCTGTTGAAACAAGAAATTTGTAAAATAAGTCAGTTACAGGCATAGGTGTTCCATGCTTATAAAGCAACTGTAATCAGCAATATCCCCAAGAAAATAATAAAGAGCCCAAGAACACCCTATTAACATAAAAAATAAAACAAAATACTTCTTAATGTAAATATTTTTCTTCCCGTAATAGTTCATATTCCGAAAGAAGGAATAGATGAAACGTAAGTCACTGTCATCTCAAGCAAAAGACTCAAAATCTAAAGATTAAAACTTCAGCAGTTTTCATTTACTGCAGGGCCCCAGCGACAATGAGGATAGCATCATGAATAGACCAAATTTCCACATTCTTATGGTATTGACTTAACCACCAAAATAGAAAAATGGAATACAAAAAAGAAGCATTCATAACCTGCTGCCACGTGGTGTCAACAGGTGGCTGCCTTCGAGCATCACCAGCATCAAAGTCGAGAACACCATAATCGCGCAAACGAATCTGCAACATGAAATTAAAGATAATCAAAGATATAATGCAAAATAAAGCATTAAAAATGGCGCTACTCCAGATAATTGAATAATAAAAAGAGAACAGACCCGAAGGAAGGCACGAATCCTTTGCAAATTCCCAACACCACCACCAAGAGCAGCCTACAAAGAGCAGAAGGACAAAATAATGAGCACTAATCTCAGTAAATACATTTTAGTATGTTAATGCCTTGAAATCTGTTAGAGACGAGCTGGACAAAGAGAGCTCCAGCTCCTTGAATAATGCTTCAGAAAGGTCAAGTTTGATTATTATATAATGCGAGCAAGAGCTATCTCCAAATACGGCTGAAGCAGCAATTTTACTTTGAGTCTAAACATAAACAAGAAGCTTTTGCCATAGAAGTTTCATGAAACCAAAATGTCAAGAAAGGTAAAAATAACGACTTCATACTTGTGCAGGATGACTTTGTATCATGTCCATAATGTACTTCTCATGTCCCCACTCAAGGTGCCGCCTCGCACCAATTACCAATGACATCTTCTTTGAAACATTCCACCGAATAAGTGAATCCTCATCCATAAGCGCCTAGCAAATCATTGCACAAACCATGTTTACTTCTCTATGGCATAAGAAAAAGGGAGCTATGGATTGGCATGGAGAAGTAGTTAAGAAGATTTATAGAGACACACCTGAATGAGATGCCATATTTTCTGCATACTGACAGATTTCCCCCCAGATGTATTAATACCCAAACTTTCATAAGCACCCTTGAAAGCAGTAGCAGGCTGACATTCAAATGATAACAGAAAACAGATTATGCCCATTTCATGCAAAAAAAGAATAGATTTAGTGAAACAGCATCGATACAAATACATACACAGCATCATAATTCTAACAAACGCACTCATGACACAACCATTAGAAGGCAGAGAACAAGAAGTATGTATCATGACTAACAGCAAGTTTCTCAAATACATAGGCTGACGGTGCCAGCTGGCAGGCAAATAACAATAAACTTTGATTAAGATATTCTTCAATGTTAGAATCTTAGAACCGCCCTAGCATAAATTCAATGCCTAGTAAACAAAAAGCTGTAATGAGCACAATAACTAATAAAAATAAATAAAAACCAAAATTTTCATTACTTTAAACGGCAAGCCACGCTCTCTAGCACTGTTAAGGTCCTTCGCAACACCACCATAGACAGAAGCTTTTTTCTCAAGAATCGACTTGTTTGCTACAGCTACAATCTCCATGCCTGAAGGACCAGATGAAACTTGAGGGCTAGAAGCTGTTGAGGCTATTTGGGGGAGACGAGCACCTCCACGGCCTGAATCAACGATGTTAGTCTTGGGTAATAATGATATCCGGCTTAAGCTCTGAAGAAAATCACGCTTTTCCTTTTGCCAATCATCCTGTCAGCCACAACAGCGAAGCACACATTAGAAACCAGGGCAGGAAAGAGTAGAGATAGCAATTTGAAATGCTCTATAATTGAGTTACGAGTTACAACCTCCAATACTTTCAGCATATAATCATTAAAACTTCTAACATTATCCTTCTGTGCTTCCTGAATAGATGAGACCATTGCCATTTCATGAACCTACATTAAGAAGCAGCAAAAGAAAAATCTCATCATTGGTATGTAACCACAAATTCCATAAAGCAAGAGAAATAAATCATGGAACCTTATAGCACCAATCACACACGATGTATTTAGGACATATGACTATAACTATCAGAAATATAGATGTAAATGCATAGTTCAATGTAAACACTTACAGGAGCTAACTAAGAAGAACATTTACATTCATGCATGTTGAGAGGGAAACAACTATTGAACAGAAAAAAGCTAGCAGATGAAAAGGCAGATCAGAAGCCAGAAGGCATGAAACTGTTTGTGATACCGACTCCAAGGCTGCAGGGAAGCAAGATGGAGAGGAGCATTCAACAACAAACAATGATGTGTTTCGTTTACACTTTCAGCTCAGAGAGGGACTGACAAATGCAACACCCACACAAAGAAAACGAGCATAACAGAATAGAAGAACACTTAGAAATGCATGTGAAACAAATATGAAACAGATTTACTGATTTGAATTCGATAGCATGAATTTAGTAAAGGGATCAGACTAACAGCAATTAAAAACACAATTTGAGAGACCTAACAAGTTGGCCAGATTCAGGAAATGAAGACAAAAACATCAACAACAAAGAAAAGCAAAGGAATAAATGAAAAAACAGAAACAATAAACACTATATAAAAAATTGTAGCACAAACTTAAAGAGGCCCATCTGCATCACATTTATGAACATATGTATGTTAACACACCCACTTTCCAAAAGAAAAAACGGAAATCATAGTTTTACACCAGATATGACATGACATCAGAAGCTGAGGAAAAACTAGAAGTGATTTAAAAAGATTCCAATAGTGGAAGAAAAATATTTGCAAACCTAGTACAGAACACCTGTAGCAGCACTCTCGGGTAATCTATGCATTTGACTAATTGAAAGTAAGATTTGAGAAATTATATCGACTTTCTTGAGGCCAGCAGAACAAATACTGATTATTCTGATCCTAAAAAAACTACCTTTCTTATTCATCATGCATGAAAAACAACAAAAGCTTCAGCGTTGAAACAAGAAAGCTAACAGTGAACAACACCTCAAAGGACAAGCAAAAGTCAATTCAGAAAATATAACATTCGCATGTCCTAGGAGGCAGCCAAATTCAACAAAAGAAGAGGGAGAAAGAAGAACAGAAAGGAATTTCACAATACAGTGCATCTTCATCAACTCCACCCTTTCCTAAATACTATCTAGACCCAGTTTAGAGAAAAGCATTAGCTTCTCACCCTCTCACTATATTTTGAATGAAAGGATAAAGTTCCACAGCATGCACAATTGGATTCCAAATCACCAACCAATGTAACATGTGGTTATACTAAGAACTGACCAAGCACTAAAACGAAGGGCATATAAAGTGAGAAAGTGACACATTTGAAAATGCCAAATGTCCTGTTCAAGTATAATTGTACAAGAGCAAGCTAAATCAATATCCTAATGGGGAAAAATGTCAATACCTTGCCTGAACCGTTGAAAATTATGCTGTTGTCATCAAATTTATTTGGTTGCAGAAACGAAATTCATGATATGCATCCTTCAGTCCTCAAGATGAAATGGAATGTAACAACAACAGAAAACAGTCCCATATGCCTTTATAATCAAGTGCAGATGACATACCAAAAACACAGACAAACAGCACCGAAAGAACCATAAAAAATTGAAGAATAGAAAGTACCTGCTGCAAATACTCCTCAACAGTCATTGCTTCAGCAGGGAAGACATCCTCAAATGTCGTCTACAAATAGTATAATCATTAGAAGAATGTCCTATACTGCAGGTTATGGCATTGAAACATTAAAATTGTAGAACATGTTATAATTAATACATTGTGAGCCCGTTACACACTACTTTAAGATGGTATCAGAGCTAGATGTCTCAAGTACAGATCAATAGTTAAAACTCCCGCACTCCTTGATATTACTCTGTCAAGTTGTATATATTACATTTAGTCTCCAAATGTCACAGCCTGTATGGTTGCATTAGCATCTTGTGTTTCACATGTAAGGACTGATTTACGCACAGGAAGGAGTGTCAGAAATATCCCAGATGTAAATTGTGGTTGAATTTCCCGATACTTAATCTTTAAGGAAAAAACAAATGTCCAATGATAACTATCTGCACTAAAGTCACGTTTGAAATTCTAATGTACTTTTAAGACACCCATAAACAACCTACCCTAACCAGACAAGCCTCCACCAACCAAGAAGATTAATACAATAACTACAAGATTACCTGAAAGTAGATTAATCATGCCAAGGTCAAATGTAAAAATATACTAGTGGTAATGTGTAATTAGTATGTCGAATGAATCAAAACAGTAGGGTACCTTCAACTCAAAGGACTTCAGATCTCGTGCAAGCTGTTCTGCATTTATCCCTTCACGTGCAAGAAGCCTGGAAACGACACGATTATAAAAGATGCATTCACCCAACATATTTGCCATGTAGTCAGGCTTGGCACAATGAGGATAAGCGATAGCAATGAATTACGGACAGATACAAGACCTTGTGGCAGCAATAGATTGAGATGGAGCTTCAGCTCTTAGAGTTTTTGACTTGAGCTTCTTGGATAATGCTTCCAACTGATCAAGGTTCCTCTGAGACATACATAAATAGGAAACACAAAATCACTATCAGAAACTTGGTGGACTGATATATGCACAAATTCTCAATTTTCTGATGAAGAGTATGCTCTTCAGGATTAATCCAGCATGCATACTTCTATTTAGTGGAGTGTTGTCCAAAAGCAAAATGGAAAATACAATGTGAACAAAGTAGACAGTCTCAAAACAAACCTTGCATTTGCTCTGTACTAAACCCTTGGGTTGGAATTGTTCAAACATGTCTTTTTTGATTTCAAGTAACTGATTCTTAATGAACTTATATTCTGAAAAAGAAATTCAATATGGAATATTCTTTTCTAAAATCTATTCCAAAGAGAACCTACAGATTGTTCTTTCCTTCCTAAATATATTTCAGCTAGATGAAGGTGCTGCTGAGACTTTCCCCGTACTGATATATTAGGCCACAAGTTTTCAGTGTTTACCACTCTCAACTTTTTTAGCTAATCAGCTTCCAGAGTTCTATATGACCACATGAGATAGAGATGTGTAGAAAGTTCAAATTAATGGAGAGACAATGACACGACTAACATAAGTGTGGTGGAAACTGCAATCATAGTTGATTATGCGAGGTTTGGTAATTACCATGAGCTACTAAAATTGGTGACTACAATAAGAGATTGCATTCACAGAGGTTGCATGCATGGCCTTAACAGCATGACGCCATCCAACAACTAATAACAAAATGGAAGAGCAGTCTGAGTAGTGTCTTGGCAGCAAGCTGGTTAGAGACGATGGCAGTGAACTATGGTTGTAGGACCAAACTGGCAACTTAAGTAGCAACAGACAATGGAGATATTGGTGGGGAAACGAATCTATCGACAAGATTTCTCTTGGTACACCTAATTGGAGAACTGGGTTTTATCTTTCCTTTTCTTTTGCCAGAAAAGAATTGTCTCAGCACAACTTATCAGGCTAGCCGATTCAAACCCTTAAATATTTATAAGTTTATCCCCAAAAATATCTGCAGCAAGCTATTCGCAGCGGCAGAAAGCAAAACCCATAGCATCAAGCTGAAGATAGCTGGGATAAAGAAATAAGCTCCAAACGATAATGCATATGATTATGATTCAAATTTGAACAGCCACCAGGCCCGAATTTAAAACTGAAACCCCTTCAACCCCAACACTGTCCAGAGAAACAAGTACGAGGCAACGGGACGAAAAGGGGTGCTTTAACTCTACTAGACGTCTCCACCACCTCAGGGAACCCCGGCTCATGGAATGCACCTACCCAACGCCCTTTACTCTGTATCCAGGCTACACCCAGTAAGTTGGAAACCCGTGCTTAACCGCGAGCAAAAACAAAAGGGTGTCTGCTCATTCGATCACCCGGGACTTCTTCATTGTCGAAACCGAGAATTCAGTACTCGAAACCCACCGCGTTCTCTCGACCACGAGGCTTTCTCGGCAACACTTCCCAGTAAAACACAAGCACGAAGAGAGGGAGAGGGACAGAGAGAACCTGGAGAGGAGGGAACTGAGCGGAAGGAGCGGCTTGCTCGAGGAGCTTGGTGGAGGAATGGAGCAGATCGGTCCAGCTGCCCATGTCTCCCTCGTTCGCCATTGCTTTGCTTTGCTTTCTCTCCCTCTCCTCTTCTCTCTTTCTCTCGGAGCTGAAGCTGAACCTGAGAAAGAGAGGGAAAGGGTTTTAGCCTTTCAAAGCCCTAATTCTCAAACGTAATTATCTGAATTTTTTTCCAGTAAAAAGAAAAATTATTTCTATCTCGATATTTTGATAAAATTTAGTATTTTCTATCAAAAATTGATTTATTCGAGGAAAAAATTAGTGAGTGATAATGCTGAAAATAAATAAGTAGTTATTGTAACGTAGGAAGATCTTTTTATCCATACCGAATCCAGAATCCAGAATTGGATTTCAGATCCAATCCCGTTGCTTTCTCTTTTTTTTATTTTAATTTCTCCTTCTTTTTCGTTCTTCATTCTTCTTCTTTTTTCTGTAAATATAACGGCCCGATCCAATGAGGGCGAGGGTGGTCAGTGGGGCAGGCCTGGACAAGGAGCGGTCCTAGCAGGCTTTCGAATGACGAAGGGGGACAAAAATAAACTAAATTGTGCAGCAAATAGGGCAGAGTGATTCTGAGATATATTTGTAAAAGCTGGAATTAATTCGACATTTTGACGTAACAGCAATGCTTAGCTTTGGAACTCCAAAGGTACGCGCCCTTGGGTGGGAGCACTTTTAGGATGGTGTCCTCCTAGGAAGGGGCTCGTATGTACTCCAAAAGATAAAATCGTGAGACTCAACATAGAATGGGCCAAAGCGGATAAAATCTCAGTAAGTTAATTTAGAAATGTCATAATATGAAAGCAGGACCTCCTCCAATAGGTATATGGTTCGAGATCCTAGAAAGTTTTTGGAATGGTGAAAACTGCACATGAGCATATTGGTTTCTGTGAGATATGTAGGAGAGCGAAAACCAATTGCCCTCCTCATACAATCATCTAACGGCATATCATTCGGCCGCCCTTACGTTTCGATTCGTGTGGCCCTCGGCCGGAGCTGTGTGAGCAAGCCTCGACAACCCTCGATCCTCCGGATCTGGGCTGACCTATCCGATGTTGGTGGGGGAAGTGGCCTCGAGATAACCAGTCCGATACTGGTAGGTAATGGGCTTGAGATTGAAAAAAAAAAAAAAGGGAGGGGGGTCCTTTGGAGGGCTTTCAAATGGGCTCTCACAAATAGTTACCAAAAGATTTAACATCTGGTCAAGAGTATTTCGAGGTTCAAAGGATTTTGGAAAGGTATTATCATGATCATATGAAGTCCGAGTCGTGACAGCAGACCCCTTACCCCGACCGGACCTAGGCCCCGGACGCACGACCACTGCCGACCGTAAACATCAAGCAATGCATTGGCATCGTACCAAACGCAGCTGGACCACAACGAGGCAAACACATACATAGGAGAAACATGAACATGCATATGCAAGTGCCCGGAAGTCCAACGGCGTCGCATGCTGTTTGCTAATCACCATCGAGCCAAAAGGAAGCAGTGCGACACGCTGTTCCTGCCGGGTCGTGCTTGCGGACGACAGAAGCGGAAGCAGAAGAAGAAGAAGAAGAAGAAGAAGATGCAGAGACTGAACTCGGTCCTCCGCCAGGGTCAAAAAGCCATCGTGGATCTTGGGTTGCTCGCGGTCTTGCGGTCTGAGATCGCCCACGAGCTCTCGTCTAATCGCTTTCAGGTTCTCTCTCTCTCTATCTCTCTCTCTCTCTTCAATCGAGTCTTTCTCGAGCTCGTTTACTGAATTGGAATTTACGGGTGATACCCGATAGTTGTTCTTCGATTAACTTTTAGTGGGTTCCTTCGATTCGACTGCCCATTGTACATAGGAGACTAGCTGTCCCGAGTCATAGGTTGAGCAAGGCGCAGTTTTTTTGGGTTTTGTTCTGTCATTCAGGATCAGTTTTGCTTGTGGCGTTGCTAAGGTTGATATGGTAGTAGTATACTGGTCGAAGATTGTCGCGGCGAAAGACCCACTTTTGAGCCCATCACAGGGTCTGTACAGGTTCTTGATGTGGAGCTAGGAGATGAGAATGCCTTGGCATTACAAGTGCCTGAGAAAAGCTAATACTAGTGCTGCTTGCGAAATGTCGTAAGCACGTGTAGGACGGAAGCTAAAATCGACTAGAATTGCACTCGAAAGCTCTGTTATTCTTCATTTCAGTTGGCATAGAAAACTTTATGATTCTGTCCTGGTTGCTCTCCTTGGGGGCCTAAACATTGCAAAAGCTTTTTCTTATCTTGTATTAACGTGATCGACGTCTCAGAATGACCAAATTGGTGATCCTGGGGATTTTGCGGTTGACTGGGATGCACCGGAATCTGAAGATGTGCTCTTGAGGAGAAAATGTGAATACGGTGAGGAAGTTGCTGTTTCGGCATTGTTGGGTCCAGAAATCTATGGTGGAGAGGTCATGTTTCCCAGGGAAGTTCTGATGAAGGTCTGTGTCAAAAAGCCGGGCTTTAACTCCATCTTACAGTTTGATTGCGGTGTACGCAGTGGAACTGATAGTGGGTCTGAATTTCACTTACGCGGTGCCTACTATCTTGCGTCACCTGCGTCATTGCATTGTTCGGTCTACAAAGGCCCTTTGTTCAGGTAAAATACTTCAGTCTTCAGCTTTCGGCTGTTCTTTGCATTCTTGCAACAAAATGGGTTGGTCTGACATAAAAGCTTGGCTGTAGGAGACCGGATTTAAATGGGAGTAGAAAGGAGTGAAAAAAATCAATATGAATTCCATAGGTTTTTGCTGGGATGATTATGTATTCCTAAGAAGGTAGTGACTGCTATTCTAGAGAGAATAGTTAGTTGTCCTCCTCGAATCTAAGGCATATATGAGAGACTTGTTGGAGTGTGATGCATGCAGTATAGAAAGCAAGAAAACATATGTTCTCTGAACCATAGTGCAAATTGGATACTGGAGTTCTGGTTGGTCTTTGTTTTAGAAGTGGTTTCTTGTGCACGTTTTTTCAAGATCTCTATACTGTAAGAGACTCTTGCAGTCTTGCTTGTCGAAATGCCTTTATGGCCATTTCTTGTTTATAACGATTACGCAGTTTCCTCTTGGCTTAGGGATGTTGTTGTTTGTCTACTTCTGTTGGGACTAGCTTCTGCTACATTGGTTTTCTGAGACAACTGGAACATAGTTAATTTCTTGGCAAGTTCACATTTGTCTTTAATACAGCTGGAATCTTTATAGGAAGCCTGCTCAACCATGATGTTGCCTACACAAATACTTTAACTTGAGTTTTCCCTTGACGGATTTTGCATTCTTCTGGTATGTGTAACCGCGAAGCTTTGTTTGACTTGATAACTGTTATATTTCAAGGTATAGTTGTGTAGAGAAAATTGGTTAATCTTACTTATAAGGTGAAAAAAGAATTAGCTTTTGAAAGAAAAATGTGAAAGTGAAACCCCAAGTCCCATATCGTTGGAATGAGACTGAAATGTAGAAGAAATTAGTGAAAAGAAAACTCGTCTTCAATTATCAAATACTTCTGAGTTCTGTCCTTTTCAATTTTTGGGAAGGATTTAGTCCATTATGTTACACATGGTTTTGGAGGCATGAACTTATGTCGTATCAAGGTCTCTTGTAGCGTGTATCCCTTGCACCATGGTCTTGTGGGGCCGTGACTTCAGTGCACTTGGGCTATACATGTAGCACATTGACTGATGCTGATGACGAGCAGTGAAAGGTGGTTGTGATTATCAATTCCAAGATGGGGTGCATAAGAGTTTTACATGTAATGCTTAGTAAAGACTTGCTTACGAATAATTGAATGCTCTTTTGGGGCAATTGGCTTATTTGGATCGGGACACAAAGCTGAAATAATTATAGACACTATTTGGAAGCAATAGATTTTCTGTTACAAGTGTGCTTGTGTTAGTGTTATTGCGCTTTGTCGTCTCTCTAAGGCGCTATGCGAGACAGTTGGCTTGTGGCTTCAGCAGGAGACCTGTTTTTTGACCGCCTTGAGTTTCAAGGTTGGAACTCTTTATCTTTTTCCTTGCCAAGAATGGAGAATGCCCCAGTTGTTCTAGGATCTTTCCGTAATAGGAGCTTGCAGGAACCTCAGCTGTCTTTTGCAAAATGGAAATTTATCAGTGGAATGTCTATGCCAAACTGGATTGTTGAAAATTCGCTAGTCTGGTCTTTTGATAACTCATAACACCATGGAAAACGAAGTTGCGACCGTGTGGAAATTCTATTGCCTAATTTTTTTAGTTTAGGTTATTATCTTCCCAGATAAATCGAGTTAGAAACCGTCACCATACATTTTAACTTATCTGGATTCACTTAATTCTGTTTGATAACTGTTGTTCCCTCCTGTTGCTCTTAATGTGACTATTCTACTAATATCATGTTTGCGGTTTGCAGCACATTGGACCCTCATTTGCAGGACAAACTCAAGGAGTACCTTGTCGCGAAAGGAATTGGAAGAGGCCTTACTGACTTCCTTCTCTTGTACTTGCATAGGAAGGAGCAAAATCAGTATGTAAGCTGGTTGCAAAAACTCGAGAGCATGTTGGCTACCAACGTATGACTTTAGGCAATTGCTAGAACATTTATTGTCTTACACCTCTTTCACTATTTTTTTTTTCTCAGCTCGCCCATAAGTTTCTACAAGAAATAAACTTTCTAAATCAAATGGCATATGCTGGCTCCGTCTGTTCTCTTTCGACTCTTATCCGACTGTTTTGTCGGTTAACTGAAGGGGAGTGTGCCAATTTATCTTTCGGCATTAGAAGCTAAACGTGAAGTAGTTATCGATAGCATTTCTTACCTAGCAGTATTGGTTTGCATTGAAACTGAGATCTGGTCGATGAGGAACATTGTCGAGATGGTGTTCGCTGTAGTGGAAGACGTTTGATCATGACACCGGTCATAGCGACTGGCTCTTATGGCAGTGGCAACTATACAGGCTAAAAAGTGAACATGCGGAGAAACGAGACATTCTAGGATGAAAAAGATGAGGCGATTCTTCTTCGTCTAATCCCGATAATTCAGTTCTAAAGTTGAAGAGGCATGAGCCACCATTGAGGAAACCTTCTGATTTTCAAATCGAATTGGTGAAAAGCAGTGTGATTAGCTGGTAGATGGCCTTTGCTTTATGCAGTGATCCCTGTTATGCAGCTGGTTGAAATGAACTAACGTGTCTGTTCAATCGTTATGGCCTTCGATTCTAGCTTTTCTCATGACTTTGCCGAAAACACCAGACTGCTCATGCGTAGTTTTCCAAATTCCTCACAGCTTTAGAAGGGATTCAGTTCAACCCTCTAGAAGTAGTGCTTAAGCACTGCACGACTGAATTGAAATTTGGAACCAGACACCAAACCTTTGATGGTCCGGGCCAGATCGAGATCAAGCCGAATCGTTTCCGCGTCGCTTTTTCCAGTTGGGTAGCTGAGGCAAGTGTAAAGATACACAGTATCCAAGCGCAAATCGGGAGCGGTAACCATCGTAACGCATCGTCGACATGTAAAGCTCGCGTAATAGATTCAGTTTCGCATCCTTGCCCAAACTAAATCCTATCGCAACACAATTATAAGTGTCAAAGATCATTGATGAAAACGCAAAATCTGCTCCCTTTTGAGTTCTCTTCCCAAGATCCATTCGTGGGTACGGTCCACCCACGAGAGATGCACGTTACAGGAGCAAAATGCCGAGAAATAGCCCTTTTGGGTTCCTGTGTATCCATCCATTCATGGGTACTCTCTACATTTGGAGACAATTTATAGAACAGAGATATTCGAGTCGATCCGGACGAGCAAGAGCGAACCGAACCGCGCGATAGTTCGGTCCGGTTCGGAACACCGTTTTATTATTTCGAAAATGGAAAATGAAATCGGTCGACGTCGAGCTTTCATCCATCGGTCGGTGCCGTCCATGAACTTTTTTCTTCCGTCTAATATGTCGTCTTGAGTGTTTTTTCTTGAACTCACCAAGATGGGCCTCGCACTTATTGTTTTCATAAGCATGAGGGCATTTCAACGGCTTGGATGCTTCCACGTCACACTAATCTCTCTTAATCATCTCCCCCACAACCACAAGTTCTTGGCCTCTTGGGCCCATGGAATGACTTCCGTCCGGCCGGTCTCCTCAGCCGCCTCTGCGGTTGTCGTAACCCTCCGCCGCCGCCACTCTAGACCGGCTCCCCTCCGCTTCGCACCATCTAAGGTTGCACGACCGTCTTCGTGGCCACGACCTCATCGGAGGTCGACTAGACGGAGAAAGAGAGAGAAACCGTGACGGTGCTAATGGAAACAAGGCATAGCGGGATCGACATTGTCGAATTAAAGCAGAACGGCGGAGAAAGGAAGAAGAGAAAGAAAATGAGCATAGGCGACGCAAACCCTTAGATTCATTTTGGATAATTAAGCTAGCATTCTATGCTGCCGAGCTACCTTCGCTCAATCACTATTAACTCGGCAACCCGTGTATGACAGCAATCCATCTTACGAAAGGATAACATTGAGCAAAATTTGAAAAAATTCAGGGAGCAGCATTGAATAACAAAGAAGTTCAGGGACAACATTAAACACCATGAGAAAAATCAAGGACTAGGAACATTATTTAAGAGCAAGTACCGAAAAAGTCTTGAACTAATTGCACTTTTGTCAATTCAGTCTTAAACCTTTTAATAATGACGATTTTGTCCTAAACATTTTCACGTTTTTCCAATTGAATCCATTTGGCCAATTTTGGCCGGAAATCACTGACATGGACGCTAGTCGTCCTGCGCGGCACGCATCGTACCGACGTGGACAATTTTATTAATTTTTCCTCTTTTTTTTTTTATTTTCTTCTCTTTTCCTTCTTTTCTTTTCTTTCTCTTTTTTAAATGTGGCAGGCGAGGTTCGCCGGGCCCCCGCTCGGCCTCGCCCGTGACCACGATGGTCTGGGCAAGGGCCGTGGGCCACAGTAAAAAGAAAAGAAAAAAGACTGAAAAAATATTTTAAAGAAAAAGTTGTCCATGTCGGTGCTCACGTAAGATAGCCGGCATCCACTTCCGGCTAAAATTAGCCATATGAACTCAATTGGCAAAACGTGAAGAGATTTGTCCGTATCGTCGCTTTTAATTCATGCATTGCTGTCACTCGTCATTACGTGTATTACGGTACGTTTTTCATTATTAATTAATTAGGGAAAAAAACCGGTCAAGTCCAACGTAAAGCACCAGCAAAATTCAGGTGATCAGGAGTGGGGTTCCCATTGCAGCAACTCCGGATCTAATTTAATTATTTAATTAATTGATTTGATTTTACGAGTCACGACACGGCCTTTTTCGTATGATCTAATGGCACTCGTCAGGTGGAAAAAGGTCCCTTTCTGTTAGTTGCTCACGCGTTACGTAAAATTTACTAAAATCGATTTTACAATACCTGAGGGGTAAAAAAGTAAAATTCGAGGTTTAAAGTAAGCCAGAGTGGTGGCCGTCTTTGACGGTATCTATGGCCGTCTTTAAAATTACTTCAAAATTACGACCGTTAATACCACGAAAAAACTTCAAATTGGTATACCTGCGATATTTTTATTCACAAAAAACTCCCAAGCAGATGCATCTGTGATAAATTTACCCTCATTTTGTTTCCGTTAAATTTCATTATCGAATCACTCTGTTAAATGACACGCGGCAGTTGACTGATGTACCGGTTGTATGTTTTACCCTCCGTTTGTCACAAGTGTATCGATTTGTGATTTTTTTATGGTATTAATCCAATTTAAGGGAAACCGACGGATGGTAAATTTATTACAAATGTACCGGTTTAGTGTTTTTAGTGGTCAAAAAATTAATATGAAATAAATTTGTCACGGGTGTATTAGTTTGGAATTTTGAAAAAGAAAAATGAAAAAAAATATATATATATATATATATATATATAAAAGTATGAAAAGGCCAAAACATCGTTCGTGCCAGGTGGGAACAAATGTTGGGGCTCTTCTTCATGATAGTCGTGAAAAATTTGACAAAACGAAGAGGTCACAAAACAGTTCTTTTCTTTTTCGTATTATTGATGGGTGTTCGGAATTTTTTGAGCACCCGATTAATTCACACCGGCTGTGATAGTCCCCCCGTTTCGCACACATCGTATGCTACCGGAGACACACAAAATTTTATGCTCCTGTGGGTGCTCTAAGAGAAAAAATGTGGCGATTTAAACTTATATGTTGAGCGAGAAGGACGAATACGAATACCAATTGAGCAGTCTCCCGGGTTCACAATACACTTGCGATTGTTACGATGGTGCAAAAATATTCGAAAACTTAGATTTTTGCTTTTTGTTTTCAATTCCAAATCTTTGTTTTAACAACTTTTATGTTCTCTGTTTGATTTTCCTTTTCTGATTTCTTGGAAAATCCTTACTTTGACAAGATCGATGGTCTCTACTTCTGGCCATTTGTGCCAATCCTCTGGATCCTCCTTCAAATAAATTTGAAAAAATGGGTATAATAAGTATCATAACTTTAGTTATATGGAACTCATTTGAGTTCATAACTCTCTTTTTTTTTTGGGAAAAAACCACCAAAAACCCCAAACTTTTTCATTTGTGACACATTTACTTCCCGAATTTTTTTGTGACATCAAAACCCCAAATTTTGTTATTTGTGACACATTTACCCCAATATACATTGTCCATGGGCATTTCGTCTTTTTAGCTTTTTCTTTTTCTTTTTACTTTTTTTTCCTCGCCGGATCCGGCGAGGGCCGCCCGCCCGGGCGAGCGAGGGCGAGCCTCGCCCTCCTCGCCCGGGAGGGCGAGCCTCGCCCGACGCCGGCGAGGGCGGCCCTCGCCGAAAAGAAAAAAAAGTAAAAAGAAAAAGAAAAGCTAAAATGACGAAAATGCCCATGGACAATGTATCTGGATCCTCCTTCAAATAAATTTGAAAAAATGGACATAATAAGTATCATAACTTTAATTACACGGAACTCCTTCGAGTTCATAACTCTTTTTTTTTTTTTCGATTACTTGAGTTTCACATTGATTAAAAATCGTTTACTCGAGTTCCTTTGGCAACACACTTCGGACTTTTCAATTTTACACGGCTCTTTTTTCAAGAAGATTGAAGTCCGACTTGATGTTTTATTTATTTATTTTTTCAGTAATTTCTTTGGATTTGCACTTCTTGGAAGATGCCTTCTATGACTTAGGAGGCACTCGAGTGGAGATGACTTCTTGTTACACATGCTCCGATCTCTACGGCAGTGTCGTCTACAAGAGCAAGGTCCTTCATTGGAAAAAATGCAATTCTTTGTTCGTTGCAAATTGGGAGCGTTGTGGTTGGCGTGAAGAACGGCGAAGTCGTGTTCTAGCTACTCGGACTTTCTGTCATGCTCTCCTGTTCTGGAGCCAACCTTGACTTTGATCGCTCTTGTTCTGGAGGCCATTTTTCTAGCAAGCTGCACCTTCTTTCGAGTGCCTAGCCTCGACTCGGATTCGAAGATGGACTCCACTAACCTCGGCTCGGCTTCTTCCGAGGCTCTCGGCTCATCCCCTGCAGATAATGCGACATCCCTGGATTAACTCATTCGAGACATTGTTTGCTTTGACCTATTCAAAATCGAGCCTTTTGGCATACAGGCTGAGGTGACACCTTCCTAAGAGGTCACCCATCGTGGTAATACTCCTCCCACTCGAGCATGCTTAACTTTA